ACACGCATTTTCTATTAAGAAATGATCACTGAATTTTTTTTTTTCTAATTTTAAATATTATTTACCCAAAATTCTACTGTACTTACTAGCTAAAAGGAAAACTCTACTTCGAGTACTACTGGATTTTTTTCCCTTCCTTTTTTCCCTTTTGGGAGGGGGGAATAAAATGCAATTGAAAACAGTCAAATATTATTTAAGACTTCTGCACAAAGTGCTGAAGCTGTTACACTGTTTGGGTTAAGCTCCATAATATATAGCTGTTGCTAGACAATACTAGACTAATCCTTATGGTAAATGCTTCTGTAGAAACTTAACTATCACATTGTGTTACAAAAATATCACAGAAGATAACATGATTCACCACAGAAAAAGAGTGTATTGGCCGCAGATATGCTAAAGCGTATGTTGAAAAACCTAAAGCCTCCCAAAATGAGTAAGTGAAAAAGCAGGCTTCCAAACCACATTTTCAGTGCGTACTTCAGCTTTCGCAAAGTGAAAGCATGCAGAGTACAGACCAGCGAGGCACCCAACACGCTCACCTCTCTCCAGAGTCTTTCCAAACTAAGACAACTCAAACAAATCCTTGTTTACATTACAGATTTACATTTTTACAGTCGGGGGGCCCTGATCCTCTGGTCCTTATTCAGAATCTACTGAGTTCCCTGGTTGATAGTACCGACCACGCACGGAGGGACCACGTCTCTCCTAAGGCTTTCACTGAGAAGATTTTCCAGTGCTTATTTCCAAACTTTGGCAAGCTGGGTAAGAGTTGCCTATTATTATTATTATTATTATTATTACTACTACCACCACTACAACTACTACTGCTACTACTACTACTACTATTAAGGCATGGTTGCAAAGGAGGATTGATTCTAAAAGAAGCTGCAAACTGTGCGGCTTCTCTTCCAGGTTTTTATCTATATATCACTATTCTTTTGTTTAAGGAGAGCTTTCTCTAAACAAACCTTGCACAAAAGGTTTAAGTAATTAGTGATGGATTCAGGCAATGTAGCCATTCAAATATGGCTGTCCTCTGATCTAGAACAAGCTGATCAAACACCGGTAAGCTAATTATTTCAGACACTGTACAGTAATCAACAAGCCCAAATGTGAAAATTTACAGTCAAAACAGGTATTATTTTCTGCACTAGAAGACAGTCTCATGATCTGTATATGTCAAAACTAGTATGTATAATGTGTAAGCTTCCAACAGAAACCTAAACTACTGATGCCCACTGCCAGGAGGTATCAATATGGACCTGTTCAGCATTTCAAGATAATAACCAGTCTAGTGTCCTAATTCATGAACTCAAAGCAGCAGCAGTTTGCATTTGAAATACAACTTGTGAAAAAGTACAAGTGGAATACAGCAGTATAGGTATTTCTCAGATGACCAGTGCTCAGCTGTTCTCCATGAAAGAAATGGCTAGTTTTGTGCTATCTCAGGGCGACCAGGCTTGCGCCCATACTAACTGGGGACCTACAGCTGTTTTATATTCCTCCTTTTCTCAATGCCCAAACCTTGAAAATAGTGAGAATACTTTTCAAGTGATCAATCCAAGCACATTCATCTCATCCATCATCTGTCTTGAAATATTCAAGGACTGCTTTTGAAAAATATTTTAGAGAACAATGCTAGAGAGTCGTTAGGGTTTTTTTCCCCCTCCCGAATCAACTTCAAAGTAGACACACAAAGAACTTCACCACAGTATTTTCCATTTAGGATAAGTTATTTTGGCATTTCTTAAGAAATCAGACAAGTTAAATCTCTCTCAAAGCTTCACCTTCTTGGACTGGTAAGCAAGCAGGTGACTCAGATGGCACCGAAGTAAACGCTGCTTTGCCACAGATGACGGTACATTCCCTGCACAGCACACTGAGGCTACTAAGATGCTTCAGAGAACAACAGACTATGGGCTCAATCCAACAACTCCTACTCAAATGAGTAGCCTTTACTCACATTAGAAACACCACTGAAATTAATGGGACTGAAGGAGTACGAACTAGGCATGCAAACTGCAGTCTTTGTGGTCTTGCCCCAAACAAGCACGCCGGGAGGGGAGGGGGGCAAGACTGAAAATAACGACTGATAAATATTTTTTAATGTGTGTGTGTGTGTATATACATGTGTGTGTGTACTGGAGAAATGGGCGTTGCCCCAGTATTTCACAAATGAGGTTTTTAACATCCCTTTCAGTAGTACTTATTAATATGAAAGCACTAAGGTACTGCATTTATTGTTGCTTTTGAAGTGTAAGTCCTCACCAACTTCAACAGGGAATAAAGATTAAAAGCATATGCCTCCACATAAAAGGATATTTTTGTTGTTTGTTAAAACTCGATCACTTTATGAATGACAGAAAGCAATACCAAAATTTTATCATTACTCCAGATTATTAAAAATTTTAAATGTTAAAATACTGAGCTAAAAATTAATTTTTGTTTTTAGTTACAGCATATACCTATTACAGGAAAACATAGCATTTTTCCATGTTTC